CTACATGGCTCTATGACAACATACTAAAAAAAATCAGAACAAAACTCATTACCAGATGAAAGAACCAAAATCAACAAAGCAGACATATCCACAAACCAATTATTCAATATCAAGACAATACAAAAAATGCAATTAAAATGACAATGCATGATTAAGCTAATGTTTTTGTACTATAAAATTCTACGTTGAATTACGAGTCTACAGAAAAAAGAACGGAATTATTTGACTAAACCTACTATTTTTTATGAATTTTCTAATAATATGCATAACCTGAAAAATATTAAAAAAGTCAATTAAATGGAAAATATACCAAAAATATCAAACAAAAATAAAATGGCATTTTTATTTTTATATGATTTTCTAGACATTATTTATAAAGTGGTAGAAAAAAGAAGAATTAAAAAATCAATTGTTTTCTATTTTATGATGAGTTTTTCAATATGCAAGAAAATAAAAGAAATTGAAAAAAAACAAAATTGAAATAAGATTGGAGGGGGGTGCTAACAGCAATGATTTCATGTTCATTTCCTAAGTGGGCCAGGATGGGGGGTGTACATAGCACATGGGCGCAGGGCCCAGTACTACCAAAACTCATTACAAAAAAATAACAGAAGAAAAAACGCAGGGGGTGCAGCCTAGTAAGTTTTTCATGGCTATTTTCATTGGGCTTACGTTATGGGGGGTGTGGATAGCATTGGGCGTAAGGCCCAAATCACACTCATCTGTCTCTCACACGCCAGGGGGGGGGGGATTGAGTAAATTGGGAGTGCGTTTCAGCAAAACGCGTTTGGGCTTAACCCTAACCCTAACCCTAGTTCAACTAACCCTAACAACAAAAACCTAATTCCTTCTCCAAACCCTAAACACTGTTCATCCTTCTAACCTAAACCCTAGTCGTCGTTCTCTCATCTTCCTCACACAAACCCTCTCTCAAACCTCACTCAACCTCTTCACAAAATCTGATACTAAACCTAATTCAAAGCTTAACGAAACTCCAACTCAATCTCATGCTCAAACTAAAATCTAGATGAAACAAGCCAATCTATACGTCCTAGCAATCAGAAACAATGCTCAACCAAGAATCAAAGGAAAACGTACCTGGATGAGGAGTACGAACCGCTCGTGAATCTCTGAAAAGCACTTGGTGATCTCAAGATGTTACGCAAAACTGGAGAATCTTGGTGCGAGATCTTGAAGGTTGAAGGAGGAGGCTCGTTGAAGTTTCTGCGTTGGGATCTTGCTTGAAGATTTCTGGGCAAACCGTGAAGAACTCAATGAGTTCTATGAAGATCTGGGAAGAAAACTTCAAGAACGGATGAAGACGATGATTCCGAAGCTGATGGATCTTGTTCGTTAGTTGATGGAGTTTTCTGGAAATTCCAGGTGATGAATGTTTGATAATGTTCTGGAAAACCTCTTGAAGACCGATGAAGGTTTGAGTGGTTTCTGGAAAAACCTTTGAATTTTCCGGTCACAGATGAATTCTCCGGCGAGGTGAAGACGAAGGGGAACGGAGGAGTAAGGGTGAAGATCGGAGGCGTAGGGAGGGTTTCTGGTATTTTTGCAGTTTCCGGCAAGGACGGTGGCCGGAGACGGTTGGACGGTGGCTCAGGGCGTCTGCATGCCCGACGGCGAGGTCCCGGCGATGCTCCGGTGACTAGCTGTGGTGGTGACAAGTGGTGAAGGGGAGAGACTGGGAGGAGACACGTGGCTGGACGGGTGGCAGCAGAGAGAGAGTGTGAGTTCTGAGTGGGACGCGTGTAAGAGTGTGAGGGAGTCTGAGTTGTGAGCTGGGGGCCCCAGAACGCGCAACGTGGGGGTCTTCTTATAGTGACAAGTGTCACACTCTGGCCAAAACCTGCACAAAAAATGAATTGGACTGATAGTGCAGTGGGCCTCCAAAAAAAATGTTGTGCTGGGCCCACGAACTTGAGACCAAAAACCTGGAAAAAAAAGCTGAATAAAAGAAATGATTAAATGGAAAATCAAGCTCAATTAGAAGCTAATCCAAGAATTAATCCTAATTAACTAATTAACACTACAATTAATTCTAACTAAAATTAATCTATCCTAATTAACTCTAAAAAGATTAAAAAAAAAAAACTAATTAAACCTATATTAACTAGCACTAATAAAACTCTACAAAATTCTGTTTAATTTCTATTATTATTTAAAACTAGTAAATCTAGTTAAAACTAAGAAAAATCTATTAAAAGATATTTTTTCCTATTAAAAAACTATTAAAATCTATTTAAAACTATTAAATCTATTTAAAACTATATTATCTAAAACTATTAAATCTATTTAAAAATCTATCATATTCTAAAAAATCTATTTAAAAATTCTATAAAATTCTAAAAAGAGAATTAAACTATTAAAAAAATACAAAAACCCCATTTAAATTCCAGAAAAATCTATAAAGCCTATTTAAAATTCACAAAAGGCTATTAAACCCTAAAAATGCAGACAAATGCAAATGACCCCTATAGAAGAGCGCACGATACCAGATCGAATCGAACAGAGAACCCCAGGCGTCAGAATATCCCAAAATCACTATGCAAGCTAAAAATCACCGAGGAGCGCACAATTCCCCAAAAATAAGACCCTGGTGATCTGGACTGGATCTGCCATATCTGATAGACGGGAACCAGGCTGTAAACTCTGATATCCTCTGTTTGTGCACAAATATCACGCGTCTGATTTGCGAATATGAAATTAAACCACGAGTCAGATAGGAGAACCGGTTGGTCAAATTTTAGGGTGCAACACAAACCCCTCCACAAGATGAACCTCTCTGCCACTCCCCATCCACCCATTGAACCGCGAACTATCACTCAAGCTCTCAAGGATCGAGCATGGCGAGAAGCAATGCAAAAGGAATATGATGCCCTCTGCGTCAACAATACCTGGACTCTAGTTCCACCCCACCCCACACAAAACTTGGTTGGCAGCAAATGGGTATTTCGAACCAAATATCTTCCGGATGGTTCAATTGATCGTCTAAAGGCAAGGCTCGTTGCAAAGGGCTTGCATCAACGACCCGGATGGGATTTTCATGAGACGTTCAGCCCCGTGGTCAACCCGGTTACCGTCAGTGTCATTCTCACGTTGGTTGTCTCTAAGGGTTAGCGCTTGCGTCAACTCGACATCAACAATGCTTTCTTGCAAGGTTCACTTTCTGAGCAGGTGTACGTATGCCAACCACCAAGCTTTGTCGATCCATCTCATCCCAACCACGTATGTCGGCTCAACAAGGCCCTTTATGGTCTCCGACAGGCACCGAGAGCGTGGTACACTGAACTTCGCTCCTTTCTACTCCAAATTGGTTTTGTCACTTCTGCTGCAGATGCGTCACTCTTCATCCCTTCCAGCGAGTCAGTCTTTATTGCCTTATTGGTATATGTGGACAACATTATCGTCACTGGGAACACCGACTCAGCTGTCACCCAACTTGTTCAACGCCTTGCTGCTCGCTTCTCTCTCAAGGATCCAGGTACATTGTCATATTTCCTGGGTGTTGAAGTCATCCTACATCATTCTGGCAGCCTGTTTTTGTCCCAAAGAAAATATATCAGTGACATACTCATCAAAGCTGGCATGAAAGATGCCAAACCAGTTACAACACCACCTCCTGCGTCAACTCCCCTGCTCAAAACAGATGGTGAACCACTTCCCTCACCCACCGATTATCGTTGTCTCGTCGACAGCTTGCAGTACCTAAGCTTAATTTGTCCCCATGTTGCATATGCCGTCAACAGACTGTCCCAATTTATGCAACATCCCACCTCTTTTCACTAGGCTGCTCTCAAACGCTTGCTTCGGTACCTTGTCAGAACTATTGTCAGGGGCATCGTCGTTTCTTCCAGCCCATCCACAACATTACATGTCTTTTCCGATGCTGACTGGGCGGGTGACAGGGACACTTACGTCTCCATAACCGGGTTCATCATTTATCTCGGTTCCACCCCTATCTCTTGGGGCTCCAAAAAGTAAAGAGTTTGTGGCTCGTTCTTCCACGGAAGCTGAGTACCGAGCACTCGCCGACACAACATCTGAAGTTCTCTGGCTCCTATCTCTCCTCAAAGAGCTCTGCCATCGGATCCACCAACCTGCCATATATTGTGATAATATGGGTGCCACCTTTCTCTCCTCCAATCCTGTATTCCACTCCCGAATGAAACACATCGCCATCGCCTATCACTTTGTTCAGGAGAATGTGTAACACGGTGTTTTTCGGGTAACCCATGTGTCTACAGGCGACCAGCTCGCCGATATTTTGACGAAGCCTCTCCACCGTCCACAGTTTGAGTCCATAATCAACAAGCTCGGACTTTCCCAACAGCCGTCCGACTTGCGGGGGCGTGTTAGAGAACCAAATTAATCTTATTTAACCTTTTCACTTAATGTTATTTATTTAAATAAACTCAGTCAATGTTGTTCCTTATTTTATGCTGAATATGTGACCTGTAAGTTATGTTAGTGGCTTTATGGAGAGATTTTAGCAAATCTCTAAAACTGTCATATTTACTGCGTATAAGTAGAAAATCTCAATTTAATGAAAGATACAACTTCTACAATATATTCTCTACCTATAATTTCTAGGTTCCCTTACTATATATTCTCAACCTATAATTTCTAGGTTCCCTTAATGCAAGTAATAGAAGATGCATTATGTTATCTCGACACATGAATGTCCACACAACATAAATATAGAGTTTTATTTACATAATTTAAACATTTCTTCTAGCATGTACTAAAATAGATCACAAATTTACAATACTTAAATTCTTCGTGAAGTTCATCCAACCACCACCACGTGATTAATTATCAACTAAGTAAATAACTTAATTTTTTTAGCATAATAACTAACTAATCATCTAGTTAACTGTTCTTACTGGAAATATTTTTACCAAGACAACTAGTACATTTAAAGTTTACTACAAGCTAAGCGTATATATATATATATACTACTATATTTACACCTCAGAGTTGTGAAAGATTTAGTAAGATTCCACAGAAGCTCTACTGGTAAGGGAAGGCCTCATTATGACAATAGCAGATTCATTAGCACCAGCTTTAAGTGCAGCTTTTCCAGCTTCGAGAAACCTCTTCACTGCATCTTCTGCATACCTGTTTGCTTTTTTCACTGTCATACTTTTCCCGATATTCGGATAGGAGTTGAGTACATGATCGCCGTTGAGCTGAGACGCGAGCTGAATCAGTTCCATTTGGAATTCTGAGAGACTTGAATCTTCTCTAGGTCCATATGGCCTTAGATTAGTGCTGACTTCAGGAAGTGTTTCTATACAAGATATTAGAAATTGTGTAAATACAGAGTGCTGGAAAATAAATCAATAACATCCAACGACTCTTGTTAGAAGGACAGAAAATTTTGGATACATTTTGGACCCTTTTGTGATTAATAATTGTACCATTGGCATTTCAATATAGTTCCAAACTTGCTTTTAGGATATAGACAGAAGAGGAAATTTCTAAGACTGCACTCAGGCATGGCTTCCTAAACTAGACTGGGGTCTATATTGGATTTATTGTCACGGATGTTAGTCTTAGATTTGAATTTGGTGCGGTATCTGCATCATGTAGTTATCTTAGCTGTCTGATTTCAAATTAACAGTCAAGATCATTTTAAATCATTTTGTTAGTGCAATCTGAACTTTCTGATATCCGATTAACAAACTGCATGAAACAGCGTGCTTTCCACTGCAGGGAAAGCGGATCCTGGTAGGTTCAGATCACCAAATTGGATGGGTGGTTTTTGTTCATGCCAAACAGAATAGATGATTTTTCTTTATTTATTCTCGGCAAAATCAGACAGGGTTATAACATTTGGCAGAATAAAACAGAATGCACTATAACAGTTTAAAGTTTAATTGATCTTCCGAAACAAATTTTGATACAGATATAGACTTGGCCAGCTAAAAATGAAAAATTAATTTGGGATCTAAACGTGCAAAGAATGATGTAATCAAAGAAGTAGATGCAAACCTGGACAATCATCACGAGGAGTATCTCGAATGTAAAAGTATTTCTCAAAGGTACCAGCCCATGCATCTCTCTTTGTCAAGAAATTGGATTTTAAATTGAAAAGCTTCTTTACTGTGGCAGGAATAGATGAATGTTCATATTGAGAATATGGTGTTGGTCCATCAGGTCCATTAATCACTGCAAGAAACGAGTAGAAAGAGTTCTCATCACTATCAAACATATCCCTATTTTCATAACATGTCTCAATAAATAAGATACTTCCTTTAACTCATTTAGTATATGTATCTAAGCTCAAACAACTTAATTACGTTTCAGTCAAATCTACAGGACAGCTTATTTTGATAAGTGAGAACTACAGTATACACAAAGATGACCAAATATTATTTTCAGTATATTCTACAAGAGTACCCAAAAGTATATTTATCAGTACATCACTTCTATACAATGCAAAAATTTCCCAATAAATAAGTAAACTAGTACGTGAAACCTGATCAAGTGCAACACTAACTGGATTCATGTCAAACTAGACCCAAAAAAAACTTCAACAAGGGCAAGTACAAAGCCACGTAAAGTTATCAAACAGTTATATCTCTTCAAAATACCATCCTCTAACAACCAAATAAATCTAAGCATTCTGTATGTACATATTCATAGACCAAAGTATACTTCAAGTATGTCTAGAGTACAACAAATCAATGTGCATCAAATTTTGAAGACTAACAATAAAATAACACTTAACATCAATATCAAACTAACATAATTCCGAAAACAACAAAACTAAGTCAATATATCGAAGTGTTAGATGTCTTTGCAACTGCCACAAAAACGATCATTACTAAAGTTGCATCAGAAGCATTTGGCTGCTATTCTCTACAACATTAAGAATCAGATTTGACATCTATTCTACACAACATCAAAAGACACTACTCTACAAAATATCAACGAGTCTAAACAGGACATAAAAGTAAACCATTAAACAAGATTTTCAAAAACAAAAGTACATAAAAATGGAAACTTTGGAAAACATACCTGTACCCTTGTCAATCCAAGGAGAGATAAGGAAAGTAGGAACACGAACACCCAACCTATCAAACCTAAAATAATAAGGGTGAGGCCCAATAATCCCATCAGGGTTAGGAACGCCTTCAACCGGTGTAGGAACATGATCATAAAACCCACCATGTTCATCATAAGTTATCAAAATCGCCATTTCTTTCCACTGAGGACTCTTCCTCAATATCTCATACACTTCCTTCACAAACCTCTGTCCAATAGCCACATCATGAGAAGGATGATCATCGTTAGCAGGAGAAACCTTTACGTCGAAGTAACGCTGCTCAACCACCACATAATTCGGCAACTTCCCCTTCATAGCATGTCTCTTAAACTTCAAACCATAGTTATGAAACTTCACAGTGTTCTTCAACTTTCTCAAACTCTTGAAAAATAGTGTTGCGGGGATGTTTTGGTAATAGATACCAAAACTAAGGCCGTTATCGTTGAGAGAGTCGAAGATTGTGCGTTGAGGGAAACCATGGATGAGATTCTTCCTAACGTTACTCATAGCACCGTGAGAAGTTGCGGAGTGGACATAAAACCGGTTCGGTTGAGTCGAAGCGGGAACGGAAGCGAACCATTTATCGAAAACCGTGAACTCGTTTGCTAACTCGGTGTAAACCGGGAGAAGCTCCGGTTTGAACCCGCTCATGACGGTTTTCGACATTCCTTTAAGAGTTTGTTCGGCTTGTTGAGCGAAACCGTTCATCGGAGCCGGGTTAGAAGAGCTTTCGTTGGATCCGAATATTTGTGCTCTGATGGCTTGAAACGAGTGACCGGGATCGGAGTCAATGAAGACGGCGTCGTTTGACACTGAAATTTTGGGGGAAGAAGGGTCGGAGACTCGGATCGGATTTGTTTCGGTGCCGGTGAGTCCGTCGATTTCGGGTCGGGTTGATTTGAGCCATCCGAGGACATGGTCAAAAGAGCGATTCTCCATGACGATAACTACGACGGTTTTAATCGGACCTGAGATTTTGTGTTTTTTACGGTGGAGATTATCATCGGAGGCGGCGGAGGAGAAATTGGGGGTGAGGAGGAGATATAGGAAGAAGAAAAAAGAGAAAGAGACTCGCCGGAGATTCATCTCCGGTGGTCGGTGAAAGGTTAGAATTGAGAAGTAACAGTGAAGAGTGGTTTTAGTGATGAGTTACGTGTACGGTTTATATAAGTGGTGAATGAGAAATGAATACGGTATATGCTTTCAAAATAAGGATCCGTTGTTAATGTCTTGGTCTTTCTGTATCAATCTCCAAGTTGATTTATGTGCAGGTAAGATGAGTACGTGCACATCCCAACAACCACAATCTTGTATTGGATATTTATTACTACCAATAGAGTACTCCTTCCTAATCATACAAAATGTCACAATTACATTTCTTTCATTTTAAAATAATTTTTTTATTTTTATAATCAATAAATATATTTTGAGTCGTCAAGATTGAACATTATTGGACCGCCAGGAGAAAATTATAATTCATCTGAAGTATTTACAACATAAGAAAACTATTATATAGAAAAGTACATGTAATTCAAATCTAAGATACAATCAACGTCTCTCTGCATCACAAGCTTAACAAATAGCGGATTGTTATAATGTCTCCTTGTATAAATGATAGGCACGAAGAATTCGTGGAAACAGTTCTAAATTCAATTTTTATTCACTTTTCTTTTTCACATATTAACTTGAGTGTTGGAGTGTTAATCTTGCAGGCCAGCCTCTTCCCTACCGCATCGGAAGCTTTGATCCACTGTTGTTCATCACAACCACCGATTCACCAATCAATTGTGGTCCCGCCAACGAAACAGTGACTTTGTTTGTGAAAATCGACTTCTGATTCTCGCGTTTTCCCAAATCACACTTTCACTTTTTGATTCATCGGTTCAAAACCTTTTCAATTTATTGGATCAAGAGTTCTCTAAATCGAACACGAAGATTCATCGTGTTCGACCTGATCAAGTAGCGATTCAACTTTGATTTCCTAAATTTTCAGATTTATGACTTTCTAACTTTTCATAGAATGTTGGATCTAGTGTTACTCACTCGAATGCATTACGCAGTTACTAGCGCTCAAGCTGTGATCAATCAACTCATTTGCCTCTTTCTCAAGGTATTGCAAATCAAGTAGGAGACACTCCACTGCATCCAGATCTTCTACAATATCCTTAAATCGCATGACCTACTCCAGTGCCTCAAATCAGACCTCTAATACCCATTTTAATTATTTAGTCTTTTAGTGTTATTTTATTTTGAGTGTGTCCTTTGTGGGGGAGTGTATCTGAGCGCGTGGGTGGGTGTCCTTGAGTTATAGGAGTTATTTAATAAAATATAGAGTTTAATAATAATATAATATAATTAATAATGATGATAATCTAATTATTATTATTATTATCATTATTATTATTTGCATTATTATTATTAGTATTAATATTATTAGATTAATAAAATGAAATAAGGATTAATAAGGGGTATTAGAGGAGTTTGGGAGAAAGGAGAGATCAGAACACGATAGAAACCAGTTTTAGAGAGAAGAGCAAAGAGGAAGGAGAAGGAGGAGGACAAGAAGGTTAGGGCTAACAATTCTTCAGAGTTCTTCGTCAATCGGAGCATTAATCGAGGTAAGGGGGAGAAACTGATTGGGATTGGTGTTTACATGAAATTGGGTAGAGGGGATTCCTTAACCCCGTAGGAATTTGATGAATATGTTTGTTATGTTGATATGTCTTTGATTGTTGTTGATTATGATGAATTTCGTGTGCATGTTGATGTGTTTATGATTGTTGCTGCCATTGATGAATGGGTGCACATAGGGTGTGATTTTGGTGAGGTTCTGAGTAACTTCTGTAGTTCCGTTGATGGGCATAGGTGTGGGTTCTGGAGATAAATTGGTAGAATAATAACTAGAGTAGTGTGTACTGATTGTAGTGATGATAGGATGGGAGATGAAAGTAGAGTGATAGGCTTGGAGTTGAGCAAGATGACATTGTTGGATACTGAGGGTTTTGGGAGATCGCAGACGATCGCTAGCACCTTCGCTAGGCGAGCTAGTAGCGAGCATTCGCTAGGGACTCGCTAGGCGAGTTGGGTAGCGAACCCTTCCAGTAGCTACTGTCTGCCTTCGCTAGGGAGTTCGCTAGGCGAGCAGCTAGCGAGCGTTCGCTAGGGCTTCGCTAAGCGAACAAGCCAGCGAGCGTGACAGAAAAGTGACGTTGTGTTGTTTTGCCTTGTGACCTCGTTTTGTAGTATCCCTTGAGTGGTGTCCAGTGTAGATATGGTGATTGGTGGTGAAGGGTGTATACTTGACATTAAAAAGTGAAATTATGTAGTGATTAAACTTAATTAAAATAAGTAGATTGTGGTGTGAGATATGTATGGGATATGGTGATGGGATCGGGGGGATCGTGTGACTTTAATTAAAATAATTAATGATGAACAATATGTATGTATGATGTATGGTGATGTGATCAGGGGATTGTGTGCACCTTGTGTGCTTGAGTTATTTGTTGTGCATTTGGTGTTATGCATATCATGGTGTTTGGTGGGACGAATCATTGCTCAAGAGGAGTGTATGTGATTCATCCGTACTCCCTTGCGGAGAATGGTGGGGACAGATCATGGCCAAGGACGGGTGTATGTGATCTATCCGGGGTTCGATTGAATGAACCAATGAGTCGGTACCGCATGCATGGTGTTGAGTTGCATAATTGCATTATGGTGTGTTGTGTTGGTGTTGGACAGTAGGTCGTGTTTGATGAATGTTGGGTGATGAATTATATGATTTCTATCCTTTATTTCATATATTGTATTACCGATAATTTTGATCATGTTTTCTCACCCCTTTGTTGTTGTTGTGGTCTGTGCTTCCTCAGAAGTACAGACAATCCAGGTACTTAGCTAGCTTGGATAGAGGTGTGTGAGTTGAGTCTTAGGATGCTCTGATATGTAGCACGGGACTTGGGAGTTTTCTTTTGATTTAGTCGAACTTGTTTTACTTTCCTATGATGTATCGTGTGTTGGTGAACTTTATTAATGAATATTTTCATGTATTGGTGGATGGCCGAGATTGATGAACTAATGAATATTTTCCGCTGTTTTGTTCCGGAAACCTTCTAATGAAGAGTATGTCGAGTTATGTGATGTGATATCCCACTTTAGTGGAGAACTCTGATGTTTATTTGAATTAATCGTATTTTATTTTAATTCGGGAAAGTGGGGTGTTACACCACAGGCGACATAACCAGAAGTATTATTTGGCTTCCAACTATTGCGAGACAAACTCAAAATACAAGGTGCCAATGAATTGTTAAATAACATGTACAACATCATTCGACAACAGAATTCGCAGACAATAGAGGAGAGGTTGCTTCGTCTCGAGGAAAGCTTACACAACGCGCCTCTCCAGAGAAACAACGTGCATGAAGTTATGTCAAAAAGAAGTAAAAGGAAAAAGATACTCGCCGGAGATTCATCTTCGACAGATCCGTCTTTGAGGGTGTGCAAGATAACCTACATCACAATACCTCATGTTTTTTTTTTATAATTAAGATATGACAAAAAGGTTCTTACTCTTCATAAACATATTCCACCTTAATTTAAGGTTAGATAAGACTTTTTAAAAAAAATTTAAAAACTAACTAAAAATAACTTCAATTTCTTACATATAGATTCTCAAAATTTTAAAACAAATTTAATATCTGATTATCGGTGAAGTGTTAGAAATGAGAGTATAAGTGAAGAGAGGTTTTGAAGATAAGTTTTGTGTACGGTTTATATAAGTGTTGAATGAGAAATGGATACGGTATTGTCGCACCCTAATTTTTGACCTTAAGATCCCACCTCCTTGTTTTTTGATGTATTTGTTACTATTGTGTGTGTATATTCTTTCTACTGACAAGTCTGTACAGGTGCGATAATTTCAAGTGGAGGTAGTGCTCATTCTCACAGCCGAACGTTCAAAGCATGACCTTGTTGATTTAAAGAACTTTAAAGCTTTCTACTAGCTTGAACTTCTGGTTTCATTAAAGATCAATTTAACTAAGGTCTCCTGTTGAAATTGGGCCGAGCATCCTCTTACTAAGAACCGGAGATCACTTCCCTCGAAGTTCTCATAAGCTCTCGGGCATGCTAAATGAATCAGGAATTCCTCAAGGCATAATGCTTATGTTTGTCCGGGATTGTGTGAATTTTGTCAAGAATTTTACGAGATCTTGTATGATTTGACTTGTGACTTAATTACTAAGGGTGACAACCATGGATTAAAGAATGCATCAGATGTCTTAAGTTTTTGTTTGGTTCAAACAACAAGTGGATTATTGGAAGTCCGTTAGCTAACCTTCTCATGTGACCAAAGCAATGAACACTTCCATAGATAGTTTTGTCCTATCCACTATTCCTATTTATTGGATTTGAGTAGTTCACGTTTGATCTAAAACTCGATCAAGTTCCGTTAGGTGAGCTCGTATGATGTATAGGTGTTCGTGATATGTTGTGGTAATTGATTCTATTAAGTGTACCATGTATCCTCCTCATGCCAAAATTCGTACAGATGTGTATATTATTTTACTAAGAAGTACATTAAAAAGGGGTACATTCAGCTTTGATAAGAAGATCCCAACAACATTACATCAGTTTATGCGATGGGTAATTGAAAAGGAAAGTTCAACTTTGTTAAGTTGATTACATAAGCTACAGGCATTGTGTTACAATTAAAATACATAACAAACGGCGACGTCGTCAAGACTACGGAAAGACACGCCATTTTCCGCCGGGAAGTAATTCAGGCTTCGTTGAAGTTCCATTGAAGGCGTTAGGGACCAAGACAATGCATAGCAAGAGGCTTCACCCCGTGCACTAGAGTTAAGCGGATTCGTCGAGACCGAAATTGCTGTTACTAAACTTCCTCTCGTATTTAACGCATCCAAGTATTGGTTCTTCAGAAGAAAGCGACAATTATTACACGCCTCTTATTGCTGTAGCACGAATTTTCAAACCGGCACCAGGTTGCTCAAGCTATCATCCAGGCCTTCGCTTGCAAATGTTGCCCTTTTGTCTAAAGAACAGAACCGAAACCGAGGCGGAAACCTTGC